GAGAGAGAGAGAGAGTTTTATCATGTACACGCTTACATATATGTAATATATAACGGGATCACGGAGGGCGCAACAAGGAGAATTCTTACCGCGATCGGGAAGAAGCTGTTGGGGAAGGCGGGGGATACCATTCGGGAGGGCAGTCACGTAAGGGCGCGTTTAACGAACTAGGTCGTTGCGTAAAGAGTTTCGTTATATACACGCTCCCCTTTGATTTCGGAGATCTCACCGGCTGAATATGCTGAATTGGCGTTATCCCCGCGGCACGTATGCCGCCCGAGCCTTCGCGCCACGAGGAAAGTAGATCGAATCAAGGGGCTCTCGCGTTCGTTACGCTTACGTCGTATCAAAAGACCTCCCTCGTGAACGTAAATATCCGCTCCGCGCGGCGACGTTATACGCGATGCAATACAGGGCCCCATTATGACTTAATTGGATATTTCGTGTAACGTGCGCTTAAATCAGGGCACATGACGCGGACCTAAATTCTCGTAAGCACATTCGAACCCCATAACATCGAGGCGTGTACTAATAATGATACACAGGCGTCTCCACTTAGGGGGTTAATTATGTTGATGGCTACCACGGCGCTAACAAGCACTCTCCTATCGGCGCTGCATCCCATTTCAGAAATTTAAATTTACGCGTGCGCTATGTCAGGCTGAAAGCACGGGCTAATTTAAATTAGCACGTTTCGGCGGGGAGAGAGAGAGAGAAGGACGAGGAGGAGGAGGAGGAGGGGAAGGTGGGACCGTGCCTATGCATTATCGCGATATTTCGAACGGCGGAATGCCCCTTGGAGGGACCGGCGGGTACATATTGATTACGCGTAACGTGTCGGACGTCCGCGAGATACGATCGACGAAATGTTGCCGCAACCTTGGCCGGCAGCTAATGATCAGCGCGTTCTATCGGGGGTTTCGTTCGTGGCGCTGCCATTACCTCCGGCCGGAGGCTGTCGATGTTAACCGGCCGGAATCGATAAATCATGACACGTACGGCACGGCGTAGTCGTCAAAAATTTATGCCGCGCTGCCATAGTAAACGTAACCGGAAATGTTCCCGAATGCCGTACATGTGCGCGACAGCTAATGACAAACCGCGCGATGAATTAGTCGTTACATCGTTCTCCCATCGATCCCTCCGCCGTCTATCTCGTATTGAACGAATTAACGCGCGTATGACGCTGGCGACGGCTGCGAGCAAATATTTCGTATATATTTGAAACTGCGGCTGCATGGGAGTCGTCTGTGCATATCAATGCGCTTACAAAGACGGTCATTTCCCGTCAAGACCCGAGTCGAAATTTTGATACTATTTTAACACTTTTACACCTACTTGGCTGATCTATACGCCTACATAGACCAGCAATAACTTACATTGATGACATTATATTTTTTAACTCCTCCCTTGAATGTTTAATTCTAAAAATATACGAGTTTAAACTCGTAAAAAAGAATTACTCGCATTTGACTCTTATCCATTACTTCAAGTTGACTGCACGGTCACAAAAACGTTGACAGTGATCAGTGAAAAAATGAAATATGGGTTTTGAAGATCGGGGTTGCCACTTTAATTCGACATACGAGTATAACAACTGTCTCGTTCTGTCCGTTTTTACGTATTAAAACGTCACCAATGTTGCCAATCTGCGAAAACGGCCATTTCATGTGCAACAACCCGATATTTACGTTTTTGCATATTTTTCACCTCACTCAAAAAGATATCTTACCAACGCAGGTAGAATTCTAGGTGTTGCGATAAAAATTTATCGTTATATTTTGTATCCGTTAGAAAATTGTTTGTATCCTGCAAAATTGATATCGGAATAACATTCTGGCAATACCTTCCGGAAAATGTAGGTTTCACGATTAAAGCCAACGGCACACGATACTATTTTTCCTGCTGGATTGCTTACGAGAGCCAATCAGGGGATTTAGCCTTAAGTCATCTAATCTAAAATTAAAATTTTCTATGGGGATAATTAAAATGGAAGAAAAAAAAACTGATTTGCCGGCGAAAAATCTTATGCCACGCTTGAGTGGAGAGTTGGAGTGGAGGACGAAGGGAGCAGAGCGAAGTGGTAAAGTGTTTTCTATCCGCGTCTTGTTCAATAGGATCGACGTACGATAGCGCCGATATTAAAACCGAGAAATAAATATTTGTTATGCTATTTTGCAGGAGCACGGACTGGGTTAACTCAATTGGATATTCGATTATCGCGGGCTGCCGCCCGACGTGCCCGACTGTATCTGACGTTGATTACAGAAACCGTCCATAATAAGCGAGGGAATATTCAACAGCCGTTCCGCCGGGGAATGATTCGAATTCACGAAAATTATGGTAAGTCGGCTCGCCGTGTCTCTAACTTACGAGAATGGGAAATTAATTCCTCGCAGCGAGGACGGACCCGCGGATCCCGAAATCGTTAATGGAGAGGATAAACCGATCCATTAATCTCTCGCTTCTTCCGATCGTGCGCGCGCGGCGAAACCCTCGGGAAGGGGAGCGAAAGAGAGGTCGAAAAAGTGGACGGCGACGGAGAGGGACTCTCTCTTTGAATGCCGGAAGTTTTTCCCTCCGACGGAGAGGAGGGCGGAGTGCGCGATGACTATCCTCGGCTGAGCGAGCCGCGCTCTCGCACGGAAACGCGTTACGGCGAGCCAACTTTCGTCGGGACAAGGGAAAGGCAAATATTTAGAGGGCAGTCTAGCATAGGTAGCCGAGATCCGTTCCGCCGTAGGGTGGAACAAACACCGACGGGCGGCTCCTCCGCCGTAACGGAGAGAAAAGGGGATACAACCCGGACGGATCCCCGACGTGGCGCGCGCGTTGAAGAAGGTCGGGGGACTCTCGGGCCGGCGCCGTTCGAGAGATGCCCTTCTCCGGGGCACCTTTTCTCGTTCTATCTCGACCATCGGCCCCCATATACGCCACCCTCTCGCCCGCGTGTCTTGTCTTCCGTTTGATCTTTGCTCGCAGTATTTTTTGACGGCGAGTCGAACAATTTGTATGCCGCGGTGGTTTTCAATTTACATTTAAATTGGTTGCTTATGGCGTTCTGTCGTCTCGACGGGAGTCGAACCGAGAAGGCGGGAGGAGAGCGGGAGAGCCGCCGCAGCCGCCGCCGTTGCACGGCGTCGGGGAACAGTCAAATACTGAAACGGCCTCGCGAACGTGTGGCGGAACTCTTGCCGGGTTCAATGTACCGGCGCCGGTGCTTTTTTGCCGGATACGAGCGACCCGCGAGAGAGGAGCGCGAGCCGAGCGAGCGGGAA